CCCTTACAAACATTGGTGCAAATATCCTCAACAAAACACTAGCAAACCGAACACATGAAAACACATTTAGCAACATATCAAAAGGTGCATATACCATGACCAAGTAGGATTTATTCCTGAAACGCAAGGATGGTGTGACATATGAAAATCGATCAATACATCACATTAACAAAATGGAGGGAAAAACCCACATGATCATCTCAATTGATGCAGAAAAATCATTTGACAAAATCCACCACTTTTTCATGATAAAAACAATCGATGAACAAGCAATAAAAGGACAGTACCAGAACGTAATAAAAGCCATATTTGAAAACCCACAGGGAATACCATACTCAATGGTGAAAGGCTGAAAGCTTTTCCTCAAAGATCAGAACAAGGCAGGGATGCCTGCTTTTGCCAATTCTATTCATCATACTGCTACAAGTTCTAGCCAGAGTAATTAGGCAAGAAAAAGAAATAAAAGACATCCAAACTGGAAAGAAAAAAGTAAAATTATGTTTGCAGATGATATAATCTTCCATGTAGAAAGCCCTAAAGAGCGCACAAAAAAACTTGTCAGAACTGACAAATTCAGCAAAGTAGCAGGATACAAAGTCACAACACAAAAGTCAGTTGCATTTCTATACATTGACAATGAATAGTCTGAAAAGGAAATTACAAAAACAATTCCATTTACAATAGCATCAAAAAATAAAATTAACCAAGGAAGGGAAAGACCCGTACAATGAAAACTAAAAAACTAAAAAACTAAAAAACATGGCTGAAAGGAATCAAAGAAGACATGAGTAAATGGAAACATATCCCATGTTCATGGACTGGAAGATTAATATGGTCAAGACGTCAATACCACCCAAAGCAATGCACAGATTCAATACAATCCCTATTAAAATCCCAATGGTATTTTTTGCAGAAATAGAAAGCCCCATCCTAAAATTCATATGGACTCTCAAGGGGCCCCAAATAGCCAAAACAACCTTGAGAAAGAAGAACAAGCTGAAGGACACAACTTCCTGATTTCAAAACTTACGACAAAGCTAATCGAAGCAGCGTGGTGCTGGCAGAAAGACAGACACACAGGTCAGTGGCACAGAACAGAGGACCCAGAAAGCCGCCCACTCCTACATGGTCAGGTGGTTTTGACCAGGTGCCAAGACCAGTCAACGGGGAAAGGACAGTCTTGTCAACAAATGGTGCAGGACAACTGGACATCCACATGCAAATGAAGTTGTACCCTTCCCGTATACAAAAATTAACTCAAAATCGATCNAAAGCCTGTGGCCTCGGGACACCTGTCCAACTCCTCCTCCTGTTACAGATTCTGAGCCTCGGAGCTCTGCTGGCAGCCCCCTGTGGATGGGCTGGGGACACGGAGCCCTGGCTCCTCCGGGCCTGCCCAGGGCTCACCCTCAGTGTGTCTGGGAACCCCAGAAAGCCCCCCCTTTCACATGATCACCGGAAGCCAGCTGACTAGGAGCACATCACAGGCCCCAAGGGGACTGTAACCTGTGGATGCTTCTTACACCCAGTTTAACCTACAGAACTCCCTCCTACAGGCCATAAATAACCGCTTTGTCCCCCTTCCCCTTCCACATTCGTGCCTCTGCTATTTCACTGTCCTTGTTTTGTGCCGTGTATAACCACACGGCTCAGGCCCGTGCGCCCAGAGCCGTGGGACTCACCAAGCCGATGCATCTCTTCAGGATACTCCACACACTGAAGTCGCTCCTGGTGAACATGGGGGCCGGCAAGCATGTCCTGAGCGGTAAGAGAGGACAGGCAGGCGTCAGCCCAGTGACAGTCACTTATGACGGGTGGCTCTGCTCAAGGCCACTTTTCCCTTCCACTTTTCTATCTAAACGTTAGCAACTCTGTTCTGCCTGGGGAGAGAAAACACTGGCTGCTAAAGTTCTAAAGGACGGTGTCTGCATCGACTTTCTGGAGGGCCTCCTGTGGGCCCCAGAATGGGAAGGAGCCGGGGCAGGAGGAGAGGCTGCTGGCGCTGGTCCTAGAAGGGCAGCCTCTGAGTTCATTGTCCAAACTGAGGCACTTGCGAGAGGAAAAGGTGGTGCTGTTACTAACAGCTCGGGCCCACATGGACATCCACCTGCGACTTTTAAGGGAGAGGTCAGAACTGTCCTCTCTGCATGAAGAAAGAGAAGGGGGTGCAAATGCAGTTATGGGGTGGCCGCAGGAGGCACAGGAGAATGGTGTGGGCTGAACTGGGATGTGACAGAGGAGGCAGGGGACCTGACGGGAGCCGAGGCGTCAGAGCTGGGTGACAGGACGGGGCAGGGAGGGAGGGAGGCGGCATCATGGCTGACTTGCGGTCACCTGGCTGTGGACCAGTCACAGGACACTGGGGAGGGCTGACGACAGACGTCCGGCCAGGGGAGCCCAGCCTGCTGTTGGCCAGGCTGCCTGAGCATGAGGAGGTGCAACAACTAACGGGCATGAGCCCTCCGGGTGGAGGCCTCAGTGGGCATTTGGGTCTAGAGCTCAGAGTGGGTCAGGCTTGCTGAATCGGCGCGGCGAGGATGGAGGCCGCCTTCCCACCCGCACTGTCTCCTGCACCATCTCAGGGGCTCCCCCGCTGGCTGACAACCTGGCAGGCCTGTGATCCCACTTCTGCTGGTGAACACTCAGGCCACTGTCATCAGAGTCTGCTTGCATGACAATGAAACGCTGGGGGAGTAGAATGGAATGCAGCCTTGCAGCATGAAGCAATCTTTACTCCAAATTCAAAGGGGTGAGAGGTCAACGCAGCCGGACCTGCCAGAAACCAGCCTCAGCCGAGGGTCCGTCTGCAGTGCCGGTCGTATGCAGGGCACCAGGTTTCCCACTGCGCTAACGCTTCCAGGCAAGGCCAGGGCAGGGACGGTGCCCCCGTTATTTTACGGATGACAGGACCAGTCATCACAGATGCACCATCACTGATCTCCAGGAGCCCAGCAGAAATCTAGAAATTCGCATCTAGACATCTCTGGCTGGCCAGGTGCTGGGTGCGTCCGGCCCGGGGGACGCTCAGGACTGAGAGCAGCAGGGGGGCTGCAGCATGGTGGGGGTCGTGACAGGCACCCTGACAGGTGTATGGGACCACATACCGGTGCTTCTGAATCCCATTCTCTTGTGGGGGCCGCTCCCCAGCCTTTCCAATTCCATTACTTTGGCTGGTGTCCACATGGATGACTCCAGTGACTCTCTGATTCGCCTCTGAAAAGTCCCCAGAAGAGTTATCAGAATCAAAGCCTGCACAAGACAAGCAGAAAGGTAGTTTCCACAGGACTTGGAAGATAAAAGTCTGCCTCCAAGAATCCTGACTGTGCGCAGAATACCCGAAGCTCTGAACTGTTTTTATAGACACATTCGGAGAAATTACGTCAGCTTCCCAGGGACTGAAGGAAAAGCAGAGGCAGGGACACTGCAGGGAGCTTCCTGCGAGAGAATATCCACTCGGACCTGCACTTCAAACTTCCAGGCTCTGTACAGTCCGCAGGCCTGAGGTGCAGCCCTAGGGCCCAGGGCAGTTTCTCAGGCCTTTAGTCAGTGACTCACGCCCTGGGCCACCCCCAGTGCTGTGCCCGATGTCGAGGGGGCGGCAGGTTGTCTCTGCACAAAGTGCCATCACGCTGTGCATCCTATTCTAAGGCCCAACCCCCTGCACTCAGTCCTAAGGCAGGAGGACACTGCGTGATGCAGCTGCCAGAACTCATCAGACCCAGGGTAGCCACTGACACGGCGAGTGACCAGTGTAACTTACAGAGTGCTCCGGGGCACAGGAAACTTGGAGAAAATGAACTATTTGGGACTTGTATGAAAGACAGCCAGGTATGTTCTGGGCCATCCAGTTACTCAGTAAGAGTCACCCACTGGGCCATGTTCCACAACTCTTCCCACCAA